TTAATTACTATTTAAAAACGTTAAATTTATTACTACTTAAGGTAACAAAAACAAATAGTGTCAAAGTAATATATATATATATATATATATATATGCATAATTTGGATATGATTTTCATTTTTATCTTACCGAGTCAATTTTTAAAATACTATTTAAATTTTGGCTATCAAGAACAGGTTTATCGTGGTGTCTGGCTGAAAAATGTCTTTGTAGATCTTTTATCACTCATCTCTACAAAAAGCTCAGTTTAACATTTTATTTTTAAAACCTGTACATTCAAGCTGGTTGTTTAGAATGTTAATTTAACACCAAAACCTAACAAAAACACTTAGCCACATGATACAAATCTCATTTTTTAAATATATATTTATTTTAGTATAACGAAGTATTTATTGTCTAAAAACATGACTTAATTCTCTAATTTCCACACTACTTTAAAGGGTGGACACAATGTTTTAAAATACAGTCCCATTGCAGTAGTAAATACACCTGCTTGGGGTGTACTTAGAATGTCTCTGGAATATCTCTTTTAATTTTATCTCTTTTTAATTTCAATAAAAATGGGTAATCTGACAAAGAAAAAGCTACTTTTTTCTGGCACAACTATTTTAAGATTCATTAATAAATAATTGGTGAAATCTAATTTGTTTTTAAAGCAGGAAATGAACTTACTACTAGCAAGATTATGTAAATTAACTTAGAACTACCACAAAATAAATGCTTATTATTTTTGGGTAGTATAGCTATTAAGGTTGAATGAAGAAGAAGTGTTAAAGCTATGACTTGGGGCTGCCAACAGGGCCAGCCACTTGTGTCTAATAAAAATTATTGGTTAATACAAAATATCTGAGCAGCTGACCCCACAAATCTAGATGGGATTAAGATCCAATGAAGAAGAAGTGTTAAAGCAATGACTTGGGGCTGCCAACAGGACCAGCCACTTGTGTCTAATAAAAATTATTGGTTAATACAAAATATCTGAGCAGCTGACCCCACAAATCTAGATGGGATTAAGATCCAATGAAGAAGTGTTAAAGCTATGACTTAAAACAAAATCATAATTCTGGAAAAATAAAGTGTTAATACAAATTCCAAAATTCAAATGATGACACATTCATATGTAATTTCTTTTGGTTACCATAAATTCATTTTGAAGCAAGGTATTAACTGTTCTATATGTCATATAGCTTTAATTCCACCCTAACCAAAGAAACTAGTAAACATTTTGATGCATCTCTAATTGTTCATTTATTGTTGAAGTGCAAAGCTACAAAATGAGCTATCTGTGCTCTGCTCACCACGGGCATTGAAACCCAATATTTACCATTATAAGCCTTTAAGACTTACTGCTGAGCTAGTTTATGTAACTGTGTTCAATAGTCAATTGCTAGTTTTTATAAGACAAATACTTATATCAATTTAAATTAAAATATGGCTACATATTTATTAGAGATCTTAGTCTTTTTTTTCTTCTAGATTGCCCATTTGTATTGTAAGTACATCCCAGACACCTTAAGTTACTATTTAAGAAAGCTGAACCATAGCAAACATAATATTCCCTATGAAGACAAAGATGTTCCTATTCATTTTTCTCTAGAAAAGATCTTTTCATGCAAGTTTAGTCATGAAATATATTATATTACAACTTTGGTGATGAGGAACCCACTTTGAGACTAATAATGGCTTGAATGGGTAATGAAGAAAAACTTTAATATTGACAACTAATAATATTTTGATAGTTATGCTCATTTTAAAAGGTACTTATCTGTTCATAAATGCTACTGGTAGCACATTGTTCAGAAAAACTAAAACTGAACTTCAAAACATGTATGTATAGAATAAAAAGTTAGAAAAATATTCTTGATCAACCACATCCTTTCAAATAATATTGACATTTTTCAATAGTCAGTCTTTTCCACTTACTGTATTTTTCGGTGTATAAGATGCACTTTTTTACCCCATAATTTGGTGTTAAAATCTGCTTGTGTTCTATACGCTGAAGGTATGAATAATATATACGATATACACAAGCCATGTGTAAATATATTTAAAGAGGCATGCATACTTCAGTTCAATTGAATGTGTTATTTATAACAATAGTAGTTTTTTTCTTTTAAAAACATAACTATTTATAATGCTCCCTAAATAATAAAAAAATAAATTATAGTAATGGAGTTAGTAAAGTTTCCCCAAAACTTTTTCTTCAAAATAAGGGTGCATCTTATATTCCGAAAAATATGGTACTTTTTTAATATCTTAATGTCCAATTGTGTCTACTGTGGTGATTTCCATATACATATAATAACATCTCTCCAATACAAAAGTTGTTAAAATAATACAAAGTGAAAAAAAAAATGGTACTTACTTTTTGAAATCAACAGATAGTGACGATTTTCACAGCTTTATTACATTTCTTTATTTCAATAAAATCTATAGGCCTCACATATCTGCTATAAATTCATTTGTATTATTTTAGTAACTTAAACATTGTAATACTGTCAGACAAATAAAAACAACATAATTTTACCACCTAGTTAGTTTCATCTATATTTGAATAATTAATATCTAACTCAATATAATAAGAGCACTATTGAGATTGCACCTTAGAGACTCGCAAATAACCACTTCAACAATGCTTCACACAAAACATGAAGTATCAGAAAACAAATGTTTAGGTGGACAAAGAGTGAAGTTTTGAGTAAATATGAACAAACGTGTTTTTGATTTTCCAATTATTAACTTCTCACTAATGTCTTGGGTAAAAATCAGATTAGATTACCTGTATCTTGTGGGTCTTTATTGTATGTATTCCTAGCCTCTTGTCATATGTTTGCTATGTGTTTTTAAATTAGATCTGTCTCATTAGTCCTCAAGTTTTTCACCTGATGAAAGTTACAAGATGAAAATAATAGAGGCTTGTTCTGAAAATAAAATGTTCTTTTTCTTGTTGTTTAAGAAAAGAAACAGGACGTGTTTCTGACAATTTCAATAAAGAACTGAAGATCAAAGTACACAATTACCATGAAAGCCAGCTTAATAACATTGTCAAACTTATAATACTACTGTTGATCTTCAAGCCGGATTCATAGTATATCAGCCAGTAACTACCGTTGCATTGAATAGATACAAAATTAGAAATATACTTTCCACAAAAACTGCTCGTGCAAATTCATTGTTATACCTCTGATAGCTGCAACATCATGTTATACAAAATTACGAGAAATATATCCAACTGATTCTTCACAATAATTAACAGCTATTACAAGGCATGGCATGGAAACATTATAGTATCTATTTACTATATCTATGTAAAAAATATGTATATTCTGTACTTCATTCTACACTGATATGTCAGAAAACACAGATACAAAAAGTTTTTATTTCTAACAGTGAATCCTGATAAAAAGTACTAACTTCAAGGATACTGTAATTAAAAAAAATTCAGGAAAATGTATTCCACAACAAAGTTTATTACCTAGATCAACTACACATACTTTGCATGTTGCTAGTTTTAATCATTGCACAATCTAATATTCAACATTTTATAATTATCAGTCTGGGTAATAGAGATAAAATAACTGAAAAGGTGATTAGCTAACAGTGAATGCGTAATGTTAAAATGACTCGGAGTATTGACAAAGGTTTATCAACAGCTTGGACATCAAACAACTCAATATTATGGATTATCTTGAATAAAAAATAAACAAGATTAATTTTGAATAGCATTTTACAGTTAATATACTTTTTTTAGTAAAATATTTCTTGTGGGTATTGTATCTATAAACCTCTAATCACCCACCTTACAAAATCTTAACAGCCAGAAAGAAAGTATTAACCTAATATGAGAACAGACACAGTCATAATTTCTTGGAAGGAGTTAAATATACCAATATTCCTTTTTTTTAACATAATGTCACCTCAGAAATGGGGATACTTAGCAAACGCTAAAGTCTTGATCCCATAACAAAAAATTCAGATTTGTAATCTAGCTCAATCAGGTGCTAAAGGTTCAAGTGAACTCAACAAAGATAAACAGTAAGAATACAAAAGTATTAACTTTCATACCACTCATTTAACTTACAATGAAGCTTTTTTCATCAAAAAAATAAGAAAAAAGAAGACACACTCATATTTCTTGTTTGGTCCTTAATTAAAAGCAAACATGATAATGCCTAACAAGAGAGTTGTTTCACAAGCTTAAGCGACAGTTTTAAATGTTTCACCACATCCATTATTCATCTGGCAGTGTTGGAGTTTCAGCTTGAGGTAGTGTTAATTCTCTAATCAACTGTTGTATTAGATCTGACAAGGGAGAAAAAGCCTGCATATATGCCCTACGTGTCAAGTGTTTATAATCATACAGATCATGATGATTAATGGTACCATCTGTCTGAACAAACCCAGGATCCAGATTAACCACTTGGATGTTTGGTGAAGCCTTCAATTCTGCTTCCAGTAAACTGTTGATTTGATTTATTTTTTCTCTCACAGGATTAGGGTACTGACCACAGGGAAAGAGTTTCTATAAAATAAACAAACAAATTATATATATCTATACACACACACACACACAAACAGGCTTATTCAAAATCCAATATGCATATCACATTATGGTCATTAACTATTTAGGTGGTGGTACACTAGTTATATACACATTATGGTCATTAAATATTTAGAAAATGTTACACTTATTTATATATGCATAATGGTCATTAACTATTTAGGTAATGGTACACTAGTTATATACACATTATGGTCATTAACTATTTAGGTAATGGTACACTAGTTATATACACATTATGGTCATTAACTATTTAGGTAATGGTACACTAGTTATATACACACTATGGTCATTAACTATTTAGGTAATGTTACACTAGTTATATACACATTATGGTCATTAACTATTTAGGTAATGTTACACTAGTTATATACACATTATGGTCATTAACTATTCAGGTAATGGTACACTAGTTATATACACATGATGGTCATTAACTATTCAGGTAATGGTACACTAGTTATATACACATGATGGTCATTAACTATTTAGGTAATGGTACACTAGTTATATACACATGATGGTCATTAACTATTTAGAAAATGTTACACTTATTTATATATGCATTATGGTTTTATACGTCCTTTATCTTTTAGGTTTATTTGAATCACAATTTCAATTTAATAAACAACTGACTTCCACTATAAATTCCTGTCCCTCTTAACTTTTTGTAATCTTCTGGAATTGCACTAAAAGTTCTGGCATAGACAGTTTTGTAATCAGTTGTTGGAAATATCACTCAAATAAATTATCTATGAGCACCACCTATAACTTCTTCAAAAGTCCTTGTGCCGATGATCACTTTCATTATAAAAGCATGAGCACTTTTATGCAGCCTGCATTACAGTTTCTGTTTACAATGCTTTAGTTTTAGAACAGTATAACACTAAACTGCTTCCATAAAAAGAAATATTAGGACTTTCCTTTTGACTTTCAACTTTGTCCAAGTATATTCTGGATCATAGAATTAGTAGAATATCAGAACAATATAATAATAAAGAATACACATGAAAAACAAGAAATAAATTACTTACCTGGGCCATTTTTTTTGCTGATGACCGCCGATGATACTTAACCCTTCTCTCTTTTTTTTTAAATACTAATGATAGTAGTGCACTAAATAATGCATCAAAGAATATAGAATAATAACAAGCAAAAAACAGACAATGCACTATAAGTATCATAATTTTTCTGGCTTTCTAACTATGTGACAAGAGTCATTACAAATTCATCCAAGTTAGTTGATATGTTTCCAAAAGGAATTAAGCTTATACTAAAAGAGAACTTGACAATTATCTGTACAGAAAACAATGTAATATAATATGTCAATTGATAAATGAAAACCTTGGCTCTCTATTGGTTATAAATAATATAGTATTGAATGTAACAGAGAAATACTAACAAATCCTGAAAAAGAGGATGTGACAGGTGGGTGTGTCAAGTGGGGGATCTGATTTTCAATTTAATGGCTTTGTAATCAAACAGGATTGAAGGTTATGAAAATTATGCTCTGTCTGAGTGATGACAATATTATGGTGAGTAATTTAAGTTAAATTTCATACTTACTGAAGGGGTGGTGAATAAATTACAGAAGAGGGAATAGCAAGAGAAAAAAATGTCACATTTCTCATACTAGAGGAAATTCAGGATTTTCTTCAATATTGCTTTATAAAATTAAAAACTCAAAACTTATATACTATTAAGATATGGATTTTTAGTTATGATTTTGCACTATACTAATTCATTATTGGTATAACATAAACAAAAAAGGGATTTAATTAAATTTTGAATGTAAATCACTAAAAACCTCATGACACGCGCAGCAGTAAAGGATGCCTGTGGCAAGAGAGTAAATATGTTAGTTTAACAGTACAATTATAGAAACAACTTACTAATACAACAATTTCAGCACTGTTATGGTAGCTTCTAATAGCTGTTACACAGGCTCGTACTCCTTCAACTACTTCTTGTGCTGTATTTTCATAATTATTAGCTCCAACAGACAGCACAATAATCTGTAGTAAAAAACACAACAAAAAGGTTAACTATCTGATCAAAAGCTCTGTTTTAACTGGTTTTCTCAGTACAGAATCTGGGATTTTATTGCTTTTATGTCCACCAATTTCTTAAATTAATCAAATTTATGGAATAAAATTCACTTTCTATGAAAATATTTTTAACTACAGCTCTCACCAACAACAGTAATCTCAAAAAACCTACAATATACCAAGGAGTATATATGCGAACTGAGACAACAATATCTAAAAAAATTTAACTAAAAATTTACTACTAGTTTTCTGTAAAAGCTAATATGTCTGATTAGTACAATGTTAAAAAACAAGTGGTACAAGTACCTGTATATAATGAAAGTTACAGTAACATATTGAAAATTCTTATAAATTAAAGCTATCAAATATCAACTGAATACTTTTTTCATCACCTTTTAGGTATGTTAACTATATTATGTTATATTAGAAGCAACAATTTAATTTCCACTCTAACACAATTCCGTTTTGGTAGTGTATTTTTCTACATGCAAAACTGAGCCAGTAAACGTATGTATTCCACATCGTAAGTGAAAATCACAATGACAACAACAATGAAATCAATTTTACACACTGCATCATAGATTTTAAACATCTTATACATGAAAGTATAGCACAACATAAAGCTGCAATACTAGTCTTTACCAGCAAAAGTAAAAAGCCTTGATGACACATTGAGTCACTATATATATAGTCCTCTGAATTTGATAAACCAAGTGGAAATCTAAAAAAATCAAGTTGATAAACCAAGTGGAAATATAAAAAAATCAAGTTGATTAACCAAGTGGAAATCTAAAAAAATCAAGTTGATAAACCAAGTGGAAATATAAAAAAATCAAGTTGATAAGCCATGTGGAAATCTAAAAAAATCAAGTTGATAAACCGAGTGGAAATCTGAAAAAATTAAGTTGATAAACCAAGTGGAAATATAAAAAAATCAAGTTGATAAACCAAGTGGAAATATAAAAAAATCAAGTTGATAA